TTGATTTCAGTGTAAAACTATTATTTGATAATGAATTTAGTACTAGAAATATTTATCATTTCAGTTCACATATTTTAAACTATATTACAGATTTTTGTTATCAAATAATTTACCCAAGACGACGACGACTGAAATCAGATAAGTTTACATCAGAAATGGAATCGATCTGACCTAGATCAGATCGAATCGGCCGGTCTACCGATAGATCGTCTAGTCGAAAATCTATGGCATTTCCATCTCTAGACAGTCTCATTCGATGTGATCAACATCCCAATGAATTCTCTACATAAGCTTATCTAATAAAAGCAGACGAGTAAATGAGTTACACTGGCTAGTAACCAGCACCGGTTCCACCGCTGAATTATATTATGAAAAAAAAGTGATCGATCTAATGGAATCATATTTCGAGGAGACATAGAAGATTAGAAAAGATACGTTCAATGTCTATGTATATAGTAGCGGATCTAGGATTTCTGTGAATGGCGGCGATCATAGTCACAAAACGTGTTTTCAAGTCAAATTAGAGATCATATTGGCTCATTTTTGGGCATTCTTTGTTGAGAAAAATTGTTCGGAAAAAAAGGCGATCGCCTCAGTGCTCTCCTCTAAATTCCCCACTGCATGTAAAAAAAAGGATTATATTGAAAAATTTATTTCACGAAATCCTATCTTCTTATTTTTGAATATTCGGTCGATGATGAAGACTCCAGTATGATTGTTTATACACTTTCCATGAATTAGACATAGTGCAAAAAAAAACAGGGAGCACTTAATACACTGATATGAATTTACCAAGTCCAGCAATGAATACATAATGAAATTCTAATCCTTTTGCACCATGTATAGTCATCAATTGTACTCTTTCTGTTTCATCTGTTGTATCTAATGTTCCATCTGAAGTATTTGTTGTATCCTATTTAATAAAATACTTTTTTTAATAAAAATTAACAAATATCAATATTTTCATACTAATGCAATAGTACTAAGATATTGAGTAAGATCATTTGTATTATATAATTGTGAAAATTGTTTCATTGCATTACATAATTCACTTAAATTTTGTAAACGTTCAACTTCTTGTTTTCTTTGATATGATTCCATTAAACCTGATTGTTCAAATATATATAAAGCTTGTTCATATAATTCCATTGTTTTATCTTTATCTAATATTGTCTGTTTACATTGATTGATTAAATTAATAAAATCATAAATTTTCTTTTGTTTAGATAAAGATGAATCTAATTGAATATATGAAAATAATGAACATTGTTTTTCTTTTGCACCATTTTCAATTTTTTCTAATGTTGCTTTACCAATTGAACGTGCTGGAAAATTAATTATACGACGAAATGCATCATTATCATTTTCATTTTGTATTAAACGAAGATATGCTAAAGCACTTTTTATTTCAGATCGTTGATAAAATTTTATTCCACCATAAATACGATATTTAATACCACCATTCATTAATGCTTGTTCAAATTCACGTGCTAAAATTTAGAATAAACCAAAAATTATTTTAATAATCATAAAAAAATAAAAAAATAAAATTTTTTTACATTGAGCATTTGTACGATAGAGAATTGCAATTTGAGATGGAAGAATATTTGGATAACGATAAATAAAATTACGAATTACTTCAACAATATGTCCAGCTTCATCAGTAGCATCAGTTGCTTCAAATAATTCAATTTGTTCACCATTTTTTATTTCAGTCCAAAGATTTTTACCACTGAAAATAAAAATTTTCATTTTTTACATTTGAAAGAAATATTTTATTCGAAACAATCGAAAAATAAATCATTTTAATAGATAGACAAATTTGAAAAATTTAACTATAATCAATTATTCAATAATAACTAAGATTTTCAATATTTAGTATAATTCTATTTTAAGTAAAATTAATACTTCTTTCTTTATATTCATAATTAAAGTTTATCCGAATGAAATAATAAGTCGAATCTTTGTGTTATTGTTGTGTATATATCTTTTCATTTATCGTGAAAACATAAGAACAAAGCATTTTCTACTTTTTCATCGAAAATTCTACTAATACTCAAGTCATACGTTCGCTTGCACTCTCGCACACATACTGCTATCTTCATAAGAATCGACGGTAGAATAACAGCCTGAGAATAGTCGACATCAAACTATCGCTGTTTAACCGTTGATATAGCAAATGAGTTATTTATGTGCGAGATAAACAGTTCAAGTTTCTA